GCCCGGCATGAGTTTTAAGCCACCGGGTCTGGGATGCAAACCATGGTTGACTACGTGGGAGTCCAGCGACATAGCCATTACGCTGACTGCTGGTTCCCCGGCGTGGGTTTTAAGCCACCGGGTCCGAGACGCGAACCGCCGTCGACTACGTTGAGAGTCCAGCGACATAGCCATTACGCTAACTGCTGGTCCCCTAATTTGTTTTTTTAAGACAAATTAGTTGACACCTGAACGATGTACTACCTCACCGTATTTGCCATATCCAGCTACGGGACACAGGCTAGCTCTGTTACTAGCTTTTCTGAAACAAAGAAAAAAAAATTTTTTTTTCAAGGAATTGGCTGTAAAACCAATCAGGAACAGTCATTAGTGTCAGGAACAGTCATTAAAACAGCTTTACAAATCATTTTTCCATTTTATGGTAAACACTGGTTGTTAGAAAAGTCATGACTCATTCTTTTCTATTTTTTTCTATGCAAAAATGATCATGACTTTTCTGACAGTCCAATTTATGATCAGTTCGCTTGTTTGTTTTGGAGATAACCATTACCAAATTTTAGCATTTACACTATAGTTTTACACGTTATATATGATATGTGAAAGAGAGACCAAGTACCCTCCAAAAGGGCTTGGTCATTTTGTAGTCCTTTTCCTCCAGTTCTCTGTCCTGCCAAGATCTTGGGCTGCATGCACATGCCTAGCATGTGTTGAGCTGCCAGGGCTGGGACTTGAACCATGTGACATCCAGCTCCTGTGCATAGCACTTCACCACTCTGTGGGCCAGTCCTATAATTGTATTTTAAAGTTTATTTTTTCTAGCCAAGAATGTAACTTTCTTAGATCTCTTCACTTCTATCATCAATACTAGCAGATGACTTTTTTGGGGTCATTTATACAAACACACACATTTTTCTCTTTCTAGTGTTATGTTGTGATTCTGATTAGTTATGCTATGAACGTCTTAGGTATGTTTTTTTCTCTCTTTAGTAAACTTTTATTGGCTTATAATAAGTTACAGAGAAGTGCTCAAGTCATAAATGTACTCATTGATGTAATTTTCATGTGACTACCCCTTCTGGATTAACTAATTAAATGTTGGGGCCAGCAGGTGGTATGGAAGTTAAGGCAACTAGATCCCACATGATTGAATGGTTCAAGTCCCAGGCCTGAAGGGTTGAAAAATCATGCTCTGTGTGTGTGTGTGTGCATATATGCTCAAAATGCCCAGAGTAGAATGGAGGAGAAGGGATTGCGGCTTGTCCATTGCCCCTGGGGAGTGATTTCTTACTTTTCCTCTCTAATTTTCTGTTTCTCTCCAGCAAGTACACACACCCTGTGGCAGAAATAAAATTGAAAAAAAAAGAAAGAGAAAAATGAAATGTTATCAGCACCCTCATGCCTCTCTATGACTGCACCCTTCTTCACTGTCCTGACTTGTGTTGCCTGTTTAGGAAATTTGTGAAACTGGAATCATGTCATATGTACTCCTTTGGATATGGCTTCTTTCTGGTTCACATTATATGTTTGAGATTTTCTTACGATTATAGCCGTTCCTTTATTTCCGTTGCTGTGAATATTCACTGAATGAATATGCCATAATATTTTTAATCCATTCTAGTGTTGATGGGCATTTAAGTTAATAAACATGTGTACATATCTGTTGGTTACATACCTAAGAGTGTAATTGTTGGATTACAGATTACAGTTATGTAGCTCTAGTAGATACTGCCAAACTGTATTCTGAAGTGATCATACCTATAAGTTTGGATTATTGCAAGTCAGCCCCCCAAGATATACACAAAAACACCTAAATACACATACAAAGCACACACATATGTATGTTGTATAAATGTGTATGTAATGCCATCATACTCACATTTCTTGTTTAAAATTTTTTTTCTGGGAAAAGTGCATGTGTGATTCTGGACTGTGGCACACAGTTTCGGGAGCTGTTGAAGCAGTGTGACATACTTGATTTGCTTGTAGTGTCATTTTGCACCTCTCTTTTCACTGGTTCTCTGATGCACTGTATTAAAAATTAGGCCAGTGGGTGGTGTAGTGTTTAAGGCGCTGGACTTCCACATGGCCAACTGTGGTTTGAGTCCTGGACCTGGTGGCTTGAAAATCATGACAGGGACCAGGAGATGGAATAATGGTTACATCACTGGACTCCCATGTAGTTGACTGCAGTTCGAGTCCCAGACCTGGCAGCTTAAAACTCAGGCCGGGTGCACACGCCCTACAGCAAAAACCTTTCCAAAAGTGAAGTGTAATACATATATATATATATATATATACATACACACACACACACACACACACACAACATTTGTGGGCTAGGAGGTGACCTAGAGATTTAAGACAGCAGGATGCCACATGTCCAGTTGAGTAGTTTGAGTTCCAGACCTGGTGGCTTGAAAATTACACTGGGTATGAGTGCATGTGTGCTCGAAATTTTGAAAGGAGAAGGGATTGTGGTGTGGCCATCTGCCCTGGGAGATGATTTCTCAGTTTCTCTCTCTCGCTTGCTCGCTCGCGCTCCAGTGAGCACACATGCTGTATAACAAACCACACAAAAAAAATCATCTGGAACAGAACCTCTAAATGCTTTGAAAGTCAGTCTACTATAGTGTTTGTGTGCATTAAACTAATTTCCAAAGGATGGATACCCTTCTGCTCACAACTGAAAGTAGTTCGTTGGGTAGGAAAGTCATGACATGTTTTCCTATGTGAGTCTGTGCAAAAATGTATTGTGACTTTCCTGATAACCCAGTTATTAAGCAGTTTTCAGTTTTCATCTAAAAATTTGGGCTGCTTATGTTTTTCCAGTGACTCTGTTAGGAAAAATGAACAGAGCTCCTAATCAAAATACAGCGTATTAAACCTTTTACCTGAAGAACCTATAACCAGTACTTGCTCTAGAGTCAACCTAACAAAACTAAAAAGCTAGGTTAGAAAGGTGGAAGCAGGTAACCATCATGTTCTTAGTGTAGATTCAAATGGAACCTGATCAAAGGTGTGAGAACAAAGTGGTTGAGAGCCCAGAATGGACATTAATTTTGTAATACTTCACAAAAAAAATTTTTTTTCCTTATTCATGATAGAGCCAGATGCATGTGCATATGATGGGGGAGGAAGGAGAGAGTGAGCATCTTTTAAAGGGTGTGGTCACACTTCAATCCCTTTGTCCATTCTTACAGTCCTTGGGATCATGGGTACTTGCACATGAGCCCAGCCTGCTGCAGTTGCCACGTGGGATCCAGCTATCCTGCCGCACCACAGAACTGGCCTTGTATTTGATGCTGCTATTAAAGATGTTCTGAAATAGTCTTTCTGATACCTGAGTACATTTATGCTGTTAATAAAAACTGGCAATTCTTTTGAGCTTCATTGCTTCCAAAGAAAAGGTACAGGTGCCAAAGGCCACAATCTGTTGTTTAGTTGATGAACATCATTAAATGCTCATTAATTGAAAATAGCCAAGTCAGTCTCATGGCGTAGTGTTTAAAGGAGTAGGGTCACACGTGGTTGACTGTGCAGTTCAGGTCCTGGACCGGGTGATTTGGGAAACACGCATTGAGTGCATGGGCCTAAGACCTCAGTGGGATGGAGAAATGCAGGAGAAGATGATGTGGCATGACCATGCCCCACAAGGGTGCTTTCTCCTTCTCCTTCCTTCTCTGCCTCTCTGCAAAGTACATGTACCCTCTGGCAAATTTTAAAAAAGAAAGAAAGAAAATAGCCAAACAAAAATAGATTTCTAAGCTTATTATGCCCTCAAAAATGGCTCAGACACCGAGCATAGTGATTAAAATGGCAACTATATGTATACATGTTGTATAGAAATCATGAGTGGGACCCACAGAACTGTTGTTTTCCTTAGATGATGTCTCATGCCGAAGGACAACAGAGAGACTTAATTAGACGAATCGAATGCCTTCCTACTTCTGGTCATCTTAGTTCCTTGGACCAGGACCTCTTAATGCTCAAAGCTACTTCCATGGCAACTATGAACTGCTTAAATGACTGCTTTCATATTCTCCAGTTACAGCATGCATCACATCAGAAGGGCTCATTGCCTTCAGGTAAGTTATAAAGACAGGACTTCACATCAAGGGCTGAAACATGGAAAAGACTGTAGTTGTTGTAGTTGTAACTCTGGAAAGTCTTAATTAAAAAAAAATTTTTTTTTAACCCAGAAAATCAAGCTTTTTGGCTTTTAATTTCCACACTGATATGCAAATTCTTACTAATTAGGTCCTTTTTGAATTTAAAATTATTATAGGCCTAATGTTTAATGTTATTGAGTATTATTTTAGAGCGATAGTCCCTGACCTTCCAGCACCGGCAACCAGTTTTGTGGAAGATAATTCCTCTTCAGATGGAAGGGGTCAGGGTGTTGGTCCCAGGATGACCCAAGAGCACCACATGCACTGTGCACCGCATTTCCAGCACTGCCACATTGCAGTATACAATGAAGCAATCATATAATAACAGGGTTGTGCACCCATGAGAATCCAATACCAAAGCTGATCTGAGAGGAGGGGCCACCCAGGTGGCAATGTGACCAATGGGGAGTGGCTGCAAACACAGATGAAATCTTGCTTTCTCACCTGCTGCCATGCCCCGAGCTGTGTAAATCTCAAGGACTGGTAGAAGGGAATAACAGGCCATTGACCCCTATAGCTCAGGCGTTGGGACTCCTTTTCCAGAGACCTCAAACTCAGTAAGTCACAAACTGTACCCCAAACCTACCTCTTCCATATTTCTGTTAAAATTGGTGACGTCATTATCTGTCTATCCAAATGACCAAAGAAATGTCGGGATCATTTCTTGAGTTTTAGTTATGTTCAGTATTCATCGTTATTATTTATATGTAGTCAGTTGTCTTTCTGTTTCAAAAATAGTATGTTTAGTATTTGAGAACACCTTTTTATTGAAATTAATTGTACTGGGGGAAAGAATGTTATTGCATGGGATTTTAAAAATTAGTCTTTCTATAAACAAGGTGAATAACTAATCACATTGTATTGATGGTAGTAACTTAATATTTCATAACTCATTGTTCTCTTATCTAACTAAAAGAAAGATAGTTTAGAAAGACATTGAGTCTCTGCTCAGGAAAAAATTCACCATGGTCAGGTGGATATAGTGTGGGTCCCATCTTCATGTACAATGTATCTACATTTAACATTTCTTTCTTTTTTTTTTTTCTTTTAATTTAATTTTTCTAGAGGCACATGTGATCACCAAGGGGTGGGAGTGAGATAGCACAAAAGCATCTCCAGTGGGGTAAGGCCATGCCTCAATCCTTTCTTCTCCATTTCTCTTAACATCTGGGATTTTAGGCACATATTCACATGCCCTTGTCATGTTTTTTTCAGCCCTTCTGGGTCCAGCACTTAGACTGCATTTGGCCACATAGGGTCCAACCACTGTAACCACCATGCCACCTGCTGGCCCCTCGATCAACATTTCAAGCCAGCAGTTATTAACTGTTTTTAATGGCAATTGTAGGTGAAGATCAGGACACTGTTTTGTTTTATTTTATTTAATTAATTAATTTATTTATTTATTTTTAGTTTTTCTGTAGGGCATATGTGTTCACCAGGGAGAGAGAGAGAAAGTGAAAATCAGCCCCCAGGGAAATAGCCACACCTCAGTTCCTTCTCCATTCTCCTCTTGGGATTTTGGGAATACACACAAATGTGCTCAGTGTTTTTTGAGCTGCCGGGTCTAGGACTTAAACTATGTAGTTGGTCATGCGGGATCTAGCTGCCTTCACCACCACTCCACTGGTTGGCCTGGCCAGGGCACAGTTAATGAAATCAGTAAGTTGTGTATGTTCCCCTTAAAGAACTCATAGTTCACTTGAGGAAGAAACATGCAAATAGTAAGGATAAATGATATATAAAGTGCTGTTATAATAGGGAGAAAGGGCCATGGGAGAATCAGTGAATGAATGTTTCTTGTAGAAAAAGGTATGGGCACACCACATAGAAGCTACAAAGATCAATTTAGCAGTGCGAATGTCATAAAGAGGCTATTCCAGAAAGGTGGAAGAGCCTAAATTGTGAGCTGTGAACATTGAAGGGGGTCTTTTAGGAACTGTAAGTAGCTCGGTATATATTTTCTTGTGTTATTAAGCAGTATTTTCTAATAAGCATTATTTTATTTATTTTATTTTTTTAGAGAAGATTTTGCTATAGGGTGCATGTGCTTGCAAGGGGAGACAGAGAGACAGAAAGTGAAAAATCACCCCCTGGGGAGATAGCCATGCCTCAGTCCCTTCTTCTCCAGTCTCCTCTCTGGATTTTGGGTGTGCATGCACACACACCCAGCGTGAGTTTTAAGCTGCCAGGTCTGAGACTCGAACTGTGGTCAACTGTGTGGGAGTCAGCAACATAATCATTACACCATCTGTTGGTCCCAATAAACATAATTATTTTAAAAGAATTATTTTATTTAACTTTATTTATTTATTTTTAATTTGACCAAAGAGGGACAGAATGAGATAGAGAAAGAGGAAAAGTGAGAAAGCAAGTTGCCAGGTCCAGAACTCGAACCATAGCCAGCCATGTGCAAGTCCAGTGCCCTTAATCCTAACGCCACCTGCCAACCCCAATAAACATAATTTTAATTGACTACATTATATTCCTTTGAGAGGACAGATGTATTATGATTTACCTAACTTTGTGTTAAGCATTGGATGAGGTATCCTGAACTGTGAAATTTGGGTTAATTCTAGTGTTGGTAGTAATAATTTTCAGTAAAATGAACAGAGAGGGCCTGCATGTGGTATGGTGTTTAAGGCAGCTCGATCCTACATGGCTGACTGTGGTTTGAGTCCCAGACCCAGTGGCTTGAAAAACACATCAGGTGTTGGGTGTGTGTGCATGCCCAAAATCCCAAGAAGACTATGGAGAAAAAGGGATTTCAGTATGGCTATTCCCCCAGGGGGGTGATTTCTCATTTTCCTCATCTCTCTTTTCTTTCTTTTTCTCTCTCTGGCAAGTGCACATGCCCTATAGTAAAAATTTAAAAAGAAACAAAGTTTGTTTCTGGTTTTGCTATTTAATTTTTAATTGTTTATTTAACTGTTTTTTAGATTTTTGCCATAGAGCGCATACACTCACCAGAGAGGGAAGGTGAGAAATCACCCCTATGGGGGTAGGGGGACAGTCATGGCTACAGTCCCTTCTCCATTCTCTTCTCAGGATTCTGGGCATGAATGTACTTGCGTCCGGCGTGATTTTCAAGCCCCTGAGTCTTGGGCTAGAACAGCATTTGACCATGTGGGAGTCCAGCACCTTAACTCGATACCACCTGCTGGTCGCTGTGATATTTAATTTTTTTTTTTTTTTTTTGGAGAGGTTTTCACTATAGGATGCGTGCGGTCGCCAGACAGACCGAGAGAGACATAGAGACAGAAAGCGAGAAATCACCTCCCAGGGGGGATGGTCATGCCTCAGTCCCTTCTCCTCCATTCTCCTCTTGGGATCTTGGGCACACACGCACACGCGCCCGGCGTGAGTTTTAAGCCACCGGGTCCAGGATGCGAACTGCGGTCAACTATGTGGGAGTCCAGCGTCATAGCCATTACGCTAACTGCTGGTTCCCAGCTGTGCTATTTAATTTTTAAAAAATAATTATTTGTTTTTATTTATTTACTTTAACTTTACCAGAGAGAAATACTGAGAGAGGGAAAGCAAGCCTCCAGGTCTAGGACTCGAACCATGGTCAGCCATATGGGAGTCCAGCGCCTTAACCACCACTCCACCTGTGGGCCCCAGTATTTAATTTTTAAAAAAGGATATCAAATAACAATGCTAGATACTAGATACTCAGTAAATATTTGAGAACCAGCAGTTAGCGTAATGGCTATGTTGCTGGACTCCCACGTAGTCGACCGTGGTTTGCATCCCGGACCCGGTGACTTAAAACTCACGCCGGGCACGTGTGCGTGCGTGCCTAAGATCCCGAGAGGAGAATGGAGGAGAAGGGATTGCAGCGTGACCATCCCCCCTGGGGGGTGATTTCTCGCTTTCTGTCTATCTGTCTCTGTCTGGCGAGCGCACGCATCCTATAGCGAGAACCTCTCAAAAAAAATACTATGTAATTTTAAAAATTATTAGAAATTTTATGTGGTTTGAATTTATACAGCTTTATTTTGAATTGTTTTCTTCATAACTAAGGAAACATGCATAATATAAATTTTCATTTTTTAATTATAAAAGTGAAATAAGTTCCGGCCCCAGTGCCAAGTGAGACCTGTATTAGGCAAGACGTTCTGGTAGTCTAGTAGGTACTACGTAATTTATTCCCTTATTGGAGTTTGAGATTTTGTTATAAAGACTGAGTAAATTCTTCCTCTTTCAGACTTTTGCTATGTGAGTATTCCTTATTATAGCACTATAACCAAGCTTCTGTGAAACCTAGATCAGCATCTGAAATCAAACGGAACATTTTCCATTATTGATTAGGCATAGAATCCACTTTGTTAAACTAGTTGAGGGTAACAAGAGACATTTGAGTCATTAACTGAGATGACAGGCCTCTAAATGTGGCCACTGCCTTTCACTAGGTCAGTTATTATTTATTTAGTAGAAAAGTCTTTCAGTTTAAAAGTTATATGGTGCTTTCTATGATCGCAAGGAAGAACATGAATTTGCAATTTTGAGGGTTATTTTGATGGGTTAAAAAATTACTGCTAAAATAAGGTGCAGCCTCCAAGTAAAGCGAACATTACTGTTACAGTCCTTGACTTCTCCAGACATCATGATCCCTAAAGTCTTGATCAGGAGGAGACAGGGTTCCTACAGAAAGAATAACTGTTAGGTTGGGAATACACTTTGTGATTCATACACTTGCTCAAGAAGTGAGTTCTGTCCTGTGGCGGGTTGCTTTAAGTAGTATCTGATTTCAGGTTGCAGGTTGCTCTATTGTGAAATACCCAATCATGGTCCTTATGCTAATAAGATCCAAGTGGCTGTCTTTCCGGGTCTCTCAACAGGTTGAATTGCTTTCAGTCTTGCAGGCTCACAACAAAATTGTTTAATAAAATCCACATCTGCTGAACTTTCCAGATTATGAGCAAGTTTCAGCGAAAGTTTTCTCTTACCTCATCAGGAACGACAATCGAGTGGTTAGAACCAAAGATACCTTTATCAAACCACTATAAAAATGGAGCTGACCAGCCCTTTGCAACTGAGCAGAGTAAGCCAGTGGCAGTCCCAGAAGAGCAGTCTGTTGCAGAGTCTGGACTACTAGCAAGGGTAAGGTAATGTGAAAATCTGATTCTGATGTAAAAAACCAGGAATCACTGAGAAGGGCCAGTTCTCTCTTCATCATTAGGGCATGCATGCCAACTTAACACTAGAGCAGTGCTCTTGAGATTCTAAACTGCATTTACTTTGTAAGAAGTCTCTTCTATGAAACTTGTATGTTTTGTGTTTTCCAGGTTAAATCATATGCCTTCTCTAGTTTTGGTTTACTTTTGCTTGATAAAAATATATTTTAAAAAATAAAAAATTGCATCATTTTTGTGTGTAAAATAACTTTTCTAATAAAATAGTACAGTTTTTTTACATTAAGAAATGTAATTTTTTACATTAAGAAACAGTTTATCTTAACATTGCTTACTAGATGTTTATGGTTAGTCTTTAAGTTTAAAAGTCTTTAAAGTTTCTTAATAAACAGTTCACTAAACTAGTATTATTCTACTTAAAATAGCACATGATCTCAGGGGTTAATATTTTTGTAAAGTATTATTCATTTCATGTTTCTTAGCCATTAAGACTTTCATTCTATGCATAAATCTATACTGATAATCATATCGATGTTTTGCCTTTTGTGTGTTCATGTCCATTACTTTTAATGGTCTTCATAGTTACATAATTTTAAGTCGCTTTTATTCAGTAGTCTCATAAGCATTTTTAAAAATGTTTCTCTGGCTAGATAATTAAAGTTTTAAAAAATAATTACATTAGTCGGGGCACCAGCAGTTGGCGTAATGGCTATGTTGCTGGACTCCCCTGTGGTCAACCACGGTTCTAGTCCCAGACCAGATGGCTTAAGCTCATACTGGGCACGTGTGCGTGCATGCCTAAGATCCCAAGAGGAGAAGGGATTGCGGTATGGGGAGTGATTTCTTGCTTTTGTCTTTCTGTCTCTGTCTTTCTGCTATAGGGCACACACCCTATAGCAAAAATCTCTTCAAAAAAAAGTTATAATATTTAACTTTATTTATTTATTTATTTTAGTTTGAGAGAGGGACACAGTGAGAGAGAGAGGGAAAGTGAGAAAGCAAGCCGCTAGGTCTGGGACTCAAAATGCCAGGTGGAAGTTCAGCGCCTTTAACTGCTATGCCACCTGCCAGCTCCTTATAATTAAAGTTTTAAAGGTTGAAGTAAACTATTGAGTTAATATCTTTAAGGTTGAATATCTAGGTTGTTTGTTATGTTTTGTTATTTTAAATAGCACAATATTATCTTGTGTTTCTTTTTTTCCCCCCTCCCCTTGTTTTGGATTCTTTTTTTTTTTTTTTTAAATTATTTTTTTAAAGAGGTTTTTGCTATAGGGCATGTGCGCTTGCCAGACAGACAGAGACAGAGAGATAGAAAGTGAGAAATCACCCCCCAGGGGGGATGGCCACACCGCAATCCCTTCTCCTCCATTCTCCTCTCAGGATCCTGGGCACGCACGCACACGTGCCCAGCGTGAGTTTAAGCCACCGGGTCCGGGACTCGAACCACGGTCAACTACGTGGGAGTCCAGCGACATAGCCATTACGCTAACTGCTGGTCCCCTGGATTATTTCTTTAGGTTATATTCCCAAGAAAAATTAGAGTTGAGAGTATACTCTCCATTTATGGTTATTTATGCACTAGTAAATTACTTTTTAAAAGAAGTGTATGAGGGACCAGCAGTTGGTGTAATGGCTATGTTGCTGGACTCCCATGTAGTCGACTGTGGTTCGAGTCCCGGACCCGGTAGCTTAAGCTCATGCTAGGTGCGTGTGCATGTGTGCCCAAAATCCCGAGAGGAGAAGGGATTGTGGTGTGGCCATCCCCCGAGGGGTGATTTCTCACTTTCTGTCTCTGTCTGTCTCTTTCTGACGAGCACACGTGCCCTATAGCAAAAACCTCTCAAAAAAAAAAAAAAGAGAAGTGTATGAAATGCTATTTTATTTATAGTTTTCTGACTAACTCATTTGTCAAGTCAAGTAGTTAACAAGCTATCTAATATGTGACAAATCCAATGTTAGGGACTGGAGTGTTAGGAACTCAGGGAGTAACAGAAAAGAAGACAGTTCTTTCATTGAAGAGACTTACCTGCTTAGAATCGCAACACATGTACACTGAAACATGTGAGATCATAGGAAACAATGGAGATCTGATAAATACCATCATTAATTGTGTGTATGGCCTTAACATAAGGATATAAACTATTTAGACCATTGATTGGTCTATCAGAATGTCATCTGATAATAGAGTTCTTCCTTGGTATCAAGAAGGGAAGAGGGAAAAAGAGAGGTGAAAGGAAAAGAATGATCTGAAATCTTTTTTTTTTTTTTTTGGAGAGGTTTTTGCTATAGGGCGTGTGCACTCGCCAGACAAACAGAGAGAGACAGAGAGACAGAAAGTGAGAAATCACCCCCCAGGGAGGATGGCCACGCTGCAATCCCTTCTTCTCCATTCTCCTCCTGGGATCTTGGCCATGCACGCACACGTGCCCAGCATGAGTTTAAGCCAACAGGTCTGGGACTCAAACTATTGTGGACTACATGGGAGTCCAGAGACACAGGCATTACACAAACTGCTGGTCTCAGTATTTCTGATTTTTCAAAGGATTGTTTTGTTGATGAACTGTGCAGAGAACATTTTTGCATTATGACTGCATGAAAACCTGTGGGGTTTTCTTACCTGTTTCTAGAAATCTCTTCAATGCCAAGATTTCTTCCTAACAGCTGTGAACAATTTTTTATGGAGCAAACATTGTATTTAAGTGAACATGAAAATATTTTATACTAGTTAGACTTGGATGTGCAGTCACTTATTTATTTTTATAACTTTAGCTTAAAAAGGCAAATATTGGGGGCTGGCAGGTGGTGTGGTGGTTACGTGCACCAGTGTCCCACATGACCGATCGCGGTTTAAAACCTAGACCTGCTGACTTTCTTTCTTTCTTTCTCTTTCACTCACTCTGTCCCTCCCTGGTCAAATTAAAATAAAGAAATAAAGAAATAAAAGTTAAATAAAATAATTATTTTTAAATAAAGGCAAATATTTAATTCTCAGAACATCTTGAACCTAAATTATAAGTAGTAGTGATATCTCTAAGAAGGTGGTCAAAGCCTAAGGTTCAGGCTTCACTTTTTTGGAAAATCCTATTTAAAAAATTTTTTTATTATTAGCATGATTTTTTTTACTTGGTATAATCATCAGAGAGAGAGAGAGAGAGAGAAAGTAAGTGAGAAAGCAAGCTGCCAGGTCTGGGACTTGAACCGAGTCACCATGTGGGAGTCCAGGACCTTAAACACCATGCCACCCAGCTGGCTCTAGAAGATCCTATTTTTATAAAATAAACTTATTTTATATGTCATGCGTATGGCAGAACCATGATATGTTCAATATCAGTAATAATGGGCTCTTTGGAGGAAAGAGCCATGGCCACATGATGAAAGTTACGTTTTCAGAAAGATTTTGCTCATGCTCATTAATTTAGGCCACATATAAAGTCTTCAGATTAAATGCTTATACTTTTATTCGAATGGTATTAATGAGTAGTTCTAACACTAGACTTTTATTTTGCAAGGAACCTGAAGAGATAAGTGCGCATGATGAGATGGAGGATACTTGTGACGACAAGGAGGACGACCTGGGTGCGGTGGAAGAGCAGCGCAGTGTGATCCTGCATCTCCTGTCACAGCTCAAGCTAGGCATGGATTTAACGAGGGTAAGAGATCAACTGGCTGTGGAGGTTGAATGGCGGGGCTGTACCAGGACTGTTGATGTTGTCAGAGCTTTGTATTTTATAATGTAGTTTCTTAGTCTCTTGTTCAGCATTTCTTACTTTTTTTTTTTTTTTGGAGAGATTTTTCACTGTAGGGCGCGTGCGCTCGCCAGACAGACAGAGAGAGACATAGAGACAGAAAGCGAGAAATCACCCCCCAGGGGGGATGGTCACGCTGCAATCCCTTCTCCTCCGTTCTCCTCTCGGGATCTTGGGCACGCACACACACGCGCCCGGCGTGAGTTTTAAGTCACTGGGTCCGGGACACGAACCACGGTCGACTACGTGGGAGTCCAGCGACATAGCCATTACGCTAACTGCTGGTTCCCTAGCATTTCTTACTTTCTTAAAAAAAAAAAAAAAAAAAAAAAGGTAATGGTTTTCTTGTTTGTTTGTTAAGTTTTTGCTGTAGGGCACACGAGCTTGTTGGAGAGAAGGGGAAGGTGAGAAATCACCCCTCAGAGGGATGGCCATGCTGCAGTCCCTTCTCTTCCATCCTCTTCTCAGGATTTTGTGTGTGCACGGACACTTCTGGTGTGTTTTTCAAGCCATCAGGTCTAAGACTTGAACCACGTATTTGGCTTGTTGGATCCAGCCACCTTAACCACGATACCACCTGGCTGGCCCTGTAATGGCATTTTGTGAAGCAGGTAGTTGCATAGCAAATGAAGACTTAAAGTTTTCTTGTTTCTGTACAAAATGAAAGGGCTTCATTGGCAGTATACTGGAATAATCTCAAGCTGTTGGGTCCGGGCCTTGAACTGCATGATCAGCCATGTGGGATCCAGCCATCAGGCTGTAGGCTGGCTCTTACACTAGAGTCATCTAAAGGAAAGGATACAGTCTTACAAAAGTGTGAAAGGCATTGAGATGTCTATGTTACTTTTACTTCTCAGGTGTTGATAGTACATTTGGAATGCTATTTAAATAGGAGCTAGAAGACTTTCTCTATAAAGGGCCAGGTAGTAAATATTTTCAGCTGTGTGGGCATAGGTCCCTATGGTTGTTACTCAGCTCTGTCTTTGTAATATGAAAGGAGTCCTAGAGAGAGTACGTTGGATTGGGCCTAGCTGTGTTCCAACAAAACATTTATAAAAACAGGAGGCCACAAAAAAATAATAAAAAAGAAGCCCAGTACATGTGCACTGAAAGGATCAGGATTCTGGTGTCCAAGATACTGGTGGGCTAGAGGAGTGTGAAAAGGGAATTGTTGTTCATCTTTCTTTCTGTCTCTTTCACATGTGCATACACATATTCCTGAAAAAGTGAAACAGGGACCAGCAGTTGGCGTAATGGCTGTGTCACTGGACTCTCATGTAGTTTAACGCAGTTTGAGTCCCGGACTCAGTGGCTTAAACTCACACTGGGTGTGTGTGCATGTGTGCCCTAGATCCCAAGTGGAGAATGGAGGAGAAGGGATTGTGGTATGGTTGTCACCCCTAGGGGGTGATTCCTTACTCTCTGTCTCTCTAGCTCTCTCTCTTGTCTTTCTGGCAAGCACACACATCCTATAGCAAAGAAAACCTCTCCAAAAGAAAAAAGTGAAACAAAAAACAGTTGGCCAGGTTTGGCCTAAAGGCCATTGTCCACTTACCCTTGGTGTATAACCTTGTGACTTTAAAAGTGTGATCTGGGGACCAGCAGTTAGCATAATGGCTATGTCGCTGGACTCCCACGTAGTCGACCGCGGTTCAAGTCCTGGACCTGGCTGCTTAAACTCACACCAGGCTCACACCAGGCGCGTGTACTTGCGTGCCCAAGATCCCAAGAGGAGAATGGAGGAAAAGGGATTGTGGTGTGACCATCCCCCCTTGGGGGCGATTTCTCATTTTCTGTCTCTCTCTGTCTTTCTGGTGAGCACACGTGCCCTCTAGCGAAAACCTCTCAAAAAAAAAAAAAGAAAGAAAAAAAAAAAGCATGATCTGAAGACCAGTTGTGTCACTATCAACTGGGAGCTTGTTAGAAATGGAGAATCTTAGGCCCCAGTCCTTGACTTAGTGGACCAGAAACTTATCTTTGGCAAAATTCCCAGATGATTTATGTATACATTGAAGTTTGATAAGCAGTAATCTACAGTTTTTACTTCTTTATTTATTTATCTATTTATTTATTTTTGGAGAAGTTTTTGCTATGGGGCGCATGCGCTTGCCAGAAAGACAGAGAGAGACAGAAAATGAGAAATAACCCCCTGGGGGGTTGGCCACGCCACAATCCTTTCTCCTCCATTCTCTTCTCAGGATCTTGGGCATGCATGTACTTGCGCCCGACGTGAGTTTAAGCCACCGGGTTTGGGATTCGAACCATGGTCAACTATGTGGGAGTCCGGTAACATAGCCGTTATGCCAACTGGTGGTCTCTTATTTAATTTTTAAAAATAATTATTTTAATCATCATCATTATTATTATCATTATCTAATTTGACCAGAGAGAGGGAGAGCAAGCCGTCAGTTCCAGGACTCAAACTTTGGTTGGCTTTGTGGGAGTCCAGTGCCTTCACCACGCCATCAGCTGGCCCCGTATAGTTTGTAATTTTAGATCAGTCTTCTCTGGTCTTTTCCTTTCATTTCTCTGTTTTCCATTTATTGAATTAGTGTGCCTTAATTTAATAATTATTTATTTAATTTTATTTCTTCATATTATTTATTTTTTAAATTTGACCAGAGAGAGAGAAAGGGAAAGTGAGAAAGCAAGCTGCCAGGTCTAGCATTCAGACTGTGGTCAGCCATGTGGGGGTGCAGCACCATAATTACCATGCCACTTGCTGGCCCCATGCCTTAATTTGTTTTAACAATCTATGATGCTACCTTAAAAAGCAAATTGGGGGTCAGCCTTTTGTGTGATGATTAAGATGGCTGGATCCCACATGGCTGAACACATGGTCCCAGACCCACAGCTAGAGAAAGGCCCTGGGCGGGTGTGTGGGTGGGTGG